TTATAACCTAATTTTCGTTCATATCCTGAAAAACATTATTTAAATAAAATTGGATTACACAAATGGTCGAATATTGTTTTATAACCGAGGGCTCCAAATAGAACTATTCTATGTAGACTTACAATAAAAGTTTTCCCTGCTACCCTGCTTCCCTGCTTCTGAATGTTCTATAACCACGCGGATATGCCTACAAATTTTTGTACCCCTAGCTTTAATAGAAATTTCACAAATATAAAAAAACGTTTGTTTCAAGATGTTCACGAGGCTTGCAAATATTGAATTTGTATTGCAGAAGCTAAGTTTCTGGAACATTATTTTAAAGTAAATTACCTTAACAAGATATCATAGAACTTTTAGTATTTGTTACCTTACATTTATAATGCGTGACAAAATATAAATTTTAACTAATGTTGTAGTAATAATTTCAAAACATTGAGTGTTTGTAAAAAGAATTACAATATTTTCATAAAAAATGTATTTGTTCTAACTCTTCTTAAATTTGAAAACATTGCTTTACATCATAATGGTCTTTATACATACAATATAAAGCGTACTGTAATATTTTACAAAAAATTTTGCAGATCGACATAAATTAATATCGGACACACTTTATGGAATGTTTTATATTGTAATTTTAAATGCATTCAAAATGTTATTTACTTTGCCGTTGTAGGTCGACTTATAGTGTAAATTCCCATTTTATTGGTTATAAAAAAGAGAAAAATTTAATTTTAAATAGTTTAATTAAAATAAAAAAAATAAATATTTACCAGGAACTATTAAGAAAATTATTTCCAATCTTTTATCTACTATTTCATTGCGATATCTTTATTTATAACAAAATGAAAAGTTTCGGACGGACGGTCAGAGTGAAACTCATAAGAGTTTTCTTTCAAAAGTTTTTTTGAAAAGGGCTAAAAAATGTTGTATTTCGTTTAAATTAAAACAGTATTTTTATTTCTTCAAGGAAAAGATGTTACTTTACAAACTATTGGATTGATCCAACTTTATTGATTTCATATTCAATATAAAAAAAACAACGTTATATTACACAGTCGTTTGTCAAAATCGAAGTAGTTTTTCAGAATCGAAAAAAGCATATCGAAATCAAAGTACAATATGCAAATATTTATACATGTATGTAAAGCCAGTTCTTTCTAACATTTAGTTCTTTATATTTGGTTTGAAGTATAGATATAACAAATAACAAAAAAAATTTACGTATATCTTTTCATAATTCGCATAGATTTTTGCAAAATTTAATCGATTTACCAGAAGTCAATTATTTAAAATTGATATATAAATTGTATAATTAATTAAATTAAAAAATTTAAACACCTCATATCCATTACATTCACGCTGATAATATCTTTGTTTTGTTATATTTGATTATTATATGTATAAAAATGAATAACTATAAAAATTTAACAGAAATAGGTCATATATATCTTTTTAATTAATCATTAACAGAATTATTCCATCAGATATTGTCGTACTTAATGAAATTAATAAAATAACATATATTCAAATATAAAGCTGACAGATATTGTTTGTAGATCGATCAAGCATTTGATACAAGTATACTTTAATATATTTCAAAATCTTAAAGAATCATCTTTCTTTGTTGTTCAAATCATAATGTAAAATATTCTCCTCTACACATTCATTCTACAAACATTCTATAGTAAATTAATTTTTTGTGTGAAGTTGTAAATTGTTGTAGAATGAAATTGACATAATAAATGTCATAATGAATTAAAGTTAAATCAAAAAGGCACTACAAGAATATGAGTAAAATTTTGTTGTTTAAAACTAGGTGCAATAATAAATCAATATTAAAATAAAAAAATTACAATATTACGTTACAATAAATGTCCCTAACAACCGAAATAATTTCCACGTTTTTATTGAGATTTCTTATAAAATTATATAATTTTGACAGGCACACCTACAATTCTTAAGTATATAAAAATTTAAAAAGAGATATCAAAGAAGAACAACAAGATTTTTTTGTTACAAAATTTTTAATGAATTTGATATTCAATTAGACCCGCTCGCTTTGTAATTGAATTTATATATGTATGTATATATACATATAGGTACAATTATGTTTTGTATTATGCATTTTACATTTTTATCTAAGTAAATTCACATAGATATGCGGCAGAACTTTTGTTCATCTCGCTTCCTTAAATAAACTTAAGGTGTTTGGTAAATCTATAAAAGAGTAGTTTTCAGAATGAAAATAATACCAGTTAAAAAAGGAAACGCGTATCAATTGAACTTGTAGGCATCATTTAAAAAGGGGTGTATTTGAAAAATGATTACTAGAGTACTTACTATTAACATTTCTTACTATATAAAAATTAGTTTTAAAAGGTTTATGGAATCAGAATTATTTGGTGAAGTTTCTTTTTTGTTGAAGAATTTGAAATTTTTTCCAATGCTCAACTTCTAAAAACCTTTGCAGATATGTATTTAAAAACTCAATATTTTCAGTTTTAAGAGTAGTTTTAGATATTTAAAATGAAAATTGGGTCATTTACAGTGAAGTCGTAAAATATGTATAAACATATGTACATAAATCCTAAAAATTTAGTTTGATACAACCTCTAACATTCTTGGTGTTAATAATTTGGTTTAATTATCTAAATAACACTAAAAACATTTTGATGTTACAGAAATATTATGTAAATCTTTTCAAACACTCCGTATAAAAAAATCAGAACCCCTTAGTTTATCTTATAAAAATCCAAATATATTTTGGAAAAGTATCAATTGTAAATGAAACTTTTTAAATGCTTATTTCAATCTTTTGAGAGTGCTGCAGTTATTTCATTAACAATTATTTGATTTGCAGTGTAGAAGAATATGTTATGTACTTTATTTACTTGAATTTCATTCAAATAAAATTTGATGTCATCCAAATTTACTCCACCAATTTTTGGATCACCTTGTCCAGTTAATGTCTTCATAATGGTGCTTTATAAAATTTTTATACGTGTAAATTTGTGTTATTGACTCCAATAAGAAAATCAAATTTTTTTCTCTAAATGTAAACAATTAGTGATTCAAGTCCACTTAATGAATTCTCTTATAGTTAGAGTATATTATGGCATATTGAAACAGAAAATACCATAATTTTAAGAAAAATATTTTGTTTTAAACAAAAAGAAGAAAGTCTTACAGTTCAATACAGAATTACTTGTAATTGAATTTATAAAAACAATATGTAGTACGCAAAGCTTGGAAAGATAGAGACAATTTGAAATAGGAAAATCGGTTATGAAATTGTGCTTTTTTTTTAAATAAGAAAATTTTTTTAAGAAATGCGTACGTCATTGTAAATGATTATTATTTTTGTAATTCAAAAGGTAATTTATTATTTTAATGAATATTTATGAGACCCGTTTGTTTACTTTATTTGATTTTTTTTATATAGGAAAACTTTCATTTGCCATGGAAACGAAAAAGTGAAATCTGTTTAAAACTAAAATTCTTTATAGAGTCAAAAATCAACAAATGAAATTCATAATATATGAAAAATAGTAAAATCCGTCAAAGCTGCTTCGTTCCGTTTAAATCCGTTTTATTTATTAAGAAAAAGACGGGAAAAGTGTCAATTGTGAAAGACGTAAAAATTTTGTAGAAAATTTAAAACAATATAAACATTTCTGAACATTTTGAACCTAGCAATGCCGAAAATGATTATTGTTTTTTTATCAAGGTACTCAGTTTAAAGGTACTCCTTGTTTAAAGTGTCGTTTAGGAACTTATTATACTGACGAATATGCTTTTTAATTTTCGCGTGTTATCAATTTGAGCAATTTATCGATTTGAGTATTAAATAATAAAATTAAACAGGCATTCTTTGTAAAACTACTTCAAAAAATCAAATTAGAGGAATCGTCATTTTAATAACGTAAATAATTTATTTAGTAGATATACATATTCAATTTACATATTCAATTACTTCTAAAACAGAAGTAATTGAATATGTATCGTTTTCAACAAAAAAAATATCTTTGAAACATGTCCTTGAGAGATATATTGGTTACGATCCCCGCTAATATTACCTATGCAATTTTCTCGATTATTATCTAAGTATAATAGCAAGTTTGTTACCATGGTAAATTGTTACGTAGATTGACAACTTTAACAAATTTCGAAGTTGCACATCTTTTTGAAATTTGCTTTGAAATCAAAAGACTCAAATGAGAAACCTTGTTTGTAAATAAAAAGCGTTTAGCACAGATTCCACTTTTATGATAAGTTGGAAATCAATGTATGAAAACATTTGGTGTTGCTAAAAAATTTTATATTTATAATCAAATATTTTTGTCAACGAAAAAGACGACCGCCATCGAACAAAATTTAAAAAATGAAAAACTATAATAATATGCGCAGGCATATAAACATTTTAATCACTAAATTTAATTAATTTCTCAATTTTTTACGTTATTTAGTTAATCAAATTCAATTGACTTTTTGCAATTGTTAATTCTGAAATTGTATTCAAAATCCATAGCAAAGAATTGTTTTAAATAAAGTTAGAAAGCTCTCGAACATATAGGTTAATTATAATTTATATACATGTATATTATATTTTATATATTTTTTTAATTATTTAATGCCAGTTTTAGTTAAATCGTATAAGAATTTTTTCAACCAACACACGTGTAAACAAAACAATTTACTCTTTAAATAATTTAGCAACCTCTAGCCTGAACTTTGAATATTTTATTAGGCCTTCAATAAAAAACGCCTTTAACCATAACCATATAAACATCGAATGTTTTATATCCTATATGTTTTAAAAACTTATATGACTATAATAACACATATTTTTTTAATACTTTTATTACATTTTAACGTTTCTTTAAGTCAAACATAATTGAATTATTTGAATTCCTGTTAATCACTTTAAATGAATAATAACGAGAGCCAGAACGAAAAACAAAAACAAGAGAAAAGAGCAGAACAAAATTAAATGAACTCACATTATCAATTAAATTATTACCACTGCTGGACTCCATACCACTACAAATATCATTTTCATTATGTTGTTGCGGTTGTTGTTGTTGCTGTTGATCATGGAGATGACGTTGATTATTATGATCATTCTGGTGTTGATTATCGTTTTGATTAAGATTATTATGATGATAATATTTATTTGAATTACTTGTATTTAATAAATGTGATAATTGAATATTTTGATCATTACAACAGATGTCTGGTGAAATGTTGATACCGGTAACAGAAGTTGTTATTGAAGTTGTTGGTGATAATGTTGCCTCTGATAAAGATATCAATGTACTAGATGAAGTTTTAAGATCATCATTTTGTATTATCCGTCTGATTTTATTATCATTTTGTATATGACTCAACTCAGTTATTGTTGATGATGAAATATTTTTATTACAGTTGCCGTCGGATATGCTTCTATTAATATTATTACTTTCATTATTGTTTCTATTTTCAAAATTCGTTAAATTTCTGTTTAACTTATTTATTATATTGTTGTTATTATTATCATAATTGCATACTTTAATATCACATTGCTTACTACATTTATCATTATTAATAGGTTTTTGATTATTGTTATTTATGTTGTTATCATTAATTAAATTTCGATTACTATTTACTGTGCAACTTAATAAATTGTTAATAGCCCCGTTTTCATTATTGTTGTTAATATTGTTATATAATTTATTACTGTCGGAATTATTATTAATTATAATACTACTACTACTATTATTAATATCATCATTGTTATTATTATTATTATTATTACTATTATTATTGTTATTATTATTGTTATTATCATTATTATTATTATTATTTTTGCTATGCGGTTTGATCATATTTTCGATCTTATCACTTAAAATAGAATTAAAATTTGAATTTTTATAAATGTAATCTGAATTAATTTCAGTAGTTTCCACATTTAATTTAACTTTATTTGTTGCTGTTGCACTTTCAAAGCTATTAACCTCACCATTTTCAATAACATTGAATTCATTATAATAGTTATTATTATTATTGTCATAATTGGAATTTTGATTAAAATTAAAATTTGATTTTATGTGAATATTTTTAACATCAATGATATTATCATTATTACTTTCGGTTGTTGCTGTTGTTTTTAGTAAGTTATGTTTACTATCGCTATGACTATTATTAATAGTTGTATTAAAGCAGTTTATATTGTCACAAGCACTCGAATTGCTGTTGTTATTGTTATTTTCTTTATTATTGTTATATGTTATAGAAATTATTGACAATAAATCATTTTTTTCAATTTTAACTTGAACATTTTCTGTTGAATTATTTTTAATGTACGATGTATCTGTTGCTGCATTTGTAATTATTCCACTTGGAGGTGTTGAAGGTGGTGTAATATGATGTGATTTTAAAATTTTAAATGGATTTAGGTCAACTATTTTCTTAATTGATGCTGGTGATGATGTTAAATTATTTTCGAAATCATTTGCATTTAATTGTCGTTTGCAAGGAATATTCATTGCAATTTGTTTATTAAATATATTGGAAATTACATAAGACGAATTTTGATTTTATTTATGAATTTATGGTTTAAGCGTGTTAAGTATATAGAATATGTTTGAATAAATATTTTAAAGTAAATGATAAACTTAATCGTTCTTTTAATGTAGAGAAATTATTTGGTATTTCATTTAAAAAACCATTTAATTTCTTGAATATTTTAATAAATTTTTTGAATAAGTTTTTTTTGTTTTATTTTTTGTCCATAAAGGTTTATTTGAACACTTAATTTCTAGGATTTGTTTTCCAACTTGAAAATTCTGTGGCAAATTTTATGTACGTGGATAACAGTATGTTTAGAAATAATAAATCAAATTTTCAGAATGTTAGAGCTGTAACTACTTGATTATTATGAAATAAATTTATTTCCATAGACTATAATCTGGCTTTAAAAATCTTATTGCGACAGGATATTTTAAAGAAAACTGTGTGTTTATTGCTTTAAGTATAAATATTAATATCAAAAATTTATTTTCCAACATTCTAACTGTATTCACTAAATATATTCACACAAACTGTATTGAAAATAAAATCTAAACAACGTGATTAATTTTGTATAACTGAACTTGTAATGTAATAAAATTGAATGAATATTTTAATTGAGTTTATTATATTGACTTTTTATGTTAATATTGTAGATATAATTGTGAATGCACTTTTAAATGCAAAACTGATCATTGCACCATTTTTTTTATTATATAAATAGACAAAATTATAAGATAATTTAGGTTGCAGGAACTGAAATATTTTTTCCTTTCTACTTTACAGTTACATTAATATAGCGATTAATTCTTTACCTTATCTTTGTCAGTAAAAGTTCATTAACTTTTAAAAAATGGAAAGAAATTTTGCTATTTCAAAGCAATTAAATCAAATATAAAACAATTATAATCACTTTATTGTTCACTTAAAATATAATATCTATTGAAATTTACTACACACTTTTTTAAAAACCATTTTTTAAGAAAACATCAAAAACTTTTCACTTTAATTTCAATCAAATTTATTCTGTATGAATTCACAAATAAGATTTATTATATAAGCACGACATAAATAAAAATAAATTTTAATTAAAAAAAAAATGCAATTTCGAATCAAATCACATTTAATAAATTATAACGAAAAGTAAATGTTATTTAATATAAATTTCAAATAAAAGTTCAACAAGCCAAACGATATCAACAATTGAAACGCTATACAAAATACTACAATTTTCCTTTTTAAAAAAAAAAAAAATAAACTTAAATGTTCTTTAATTGAAAACGTCGTTTATTCGTCGCGTTCGTCTTACTTGAATATCACATGTTAACTGGAGAGCTCCAAAGCGATACAAATGGCCTTAAGCCATGTTTCATGAATATGTAAAGAAAACAAAATAAAATGTAAAGAAAAACAAAAGAAAAAAGACGGTATAAACATAAGAAAAATGAAAATTAAAAGTTAGAAATAAACGTTAAAAACTCCACTTTTATTATTGAAAAAGAATTTAATAAAGCAAAATCAAGAAGAAAAAACAAAAACAAAAATAAAATCACAATTGTGTAGTGTTTCTTATTCTAGACAGAGCAGCGCAGCGCGTTTGTTGCAGCTACACTAAATCTGAAGCATGAGCTAAAACTCATTATAATAGAAACAAAAAAATAAGATTATTAGAATAATTTAAATTGTTCATTTAAATTCACACAAAAATAGCTTTTGCATACGCTTATAAATCGATATAGGATTTCGCTAATCGCATAAGTGTATGCGAACATTATTATTTTACGATCTATTGTATTAAAATAATTATTAAAAGCCTGGCCGGGTATAAAGTTTGAAATAGGACTTTTAGCTTTTTAAAACTAAATTTTTGTTATCCAAGAATTCACAGAGTATTAAGAGTATTATATTATAATTAAATTTTTGCTTTATATACTTTATAATTGTTTGCTTATCTTACAACAGGTTGTCATAATGATGTAACAAAAAATAGAGGTAAATACAATAGGGGAAATAAGTGAATTGTAATTTTTATGAAAACAAATCGCTTCCTTTTTGATGAGGAAAACACTGTTGGAGTGTAAAAAACTTAATTGACATCTTCGGTGAAAAAGAATTTAAAAAAATTATATAGTAGTTTGATCATGTATCCGCAAATAATTAAATTAATAACAACTTTAGATATATGCTTTTTGTGTACAGCTAAGTCTTATTGCTCTAACCAATACAATTTAATTTTAAATGTATTTATTAAGAAATATGCACGTACATTATTAAAAAAACTATATAGAAGTATCATACTATTTAATTTTTGTATGTTTAGTTGTTATATGAGGTTTGTTTAAACTTAATATAGCACAATAGTGCAGAGTGCAATTACTTTTTATATATTCAACTATTACATTTTAAAAGAATATAAATTAAATAGGTTATTTTGTACATATTAAAACAAAAAAAACTTTTTTTGTTATACAGTTAAAATTTGATAACTGCTGGAGTAAAAATTGGAAGAGTTTGTTAACATTGATTTGTTAACAAGAGTTGACAGCATTTCGAAAATATTTGTCCTGTATTTTTTAATTCTGCGATTGATGGCTAAAATTAATCCTTAGTGTATGTCAAGTTAATTTTTATGTCAATTTTAATTGTAAAATATTAGATTTTACATTATATGTATACACATAAACAAAACTTGGAAACACAACTTATGTATGTTAGCTATTGTAAAACCATGTGTATAATATATAGTTTATATATTTATAAAAATGTTAAAAATTCCTATTGATAAAGTTGATTAAAAAGCCAGATTCTAATTTCAACATAAACATAGTGACAAAAAACAATACGTTTATACAAGTTATTAGAAAACAAATTGTTTTTTTTGTTACTTTTTCGAAAATTAATTGGAATAAGAGTTCTTATTAGTTTCACTCTGTTCGTCCGCCTGTTAGTTTTTCCGTATATCTGCAGCCTTTAAAATAGGAATCTGAAATTTTATACACAAAAAACTCTTTACGAGAAAAAACCTTTTTGTCCTCATCCCCTACCAATTTATCACCTCTCGAAAATTGTAAAGTGTGAATTCTCTTCGCCACTAACGCTTAACGCCTATATCAATTCAAATATAACGTGTTTTAAATAAAAACAAATTTTGCATATCGAGTTTTTGGTGCGAATTAACATTTGAGCTCTGGTTATTACCGAAACTAACAGGCAAGCTTTTCAGGGAATTTGGATGGCACAAAGTGAAACTCTACTAAGAGCCAAATTTACATTTTTTGGGTACATTAATTAGGTATTAACGAACTAAAAATTGGAAAAAAGTTGTTTAAAAGACATTTTTATAATCTTCTGTAACACTTTCATTTAACTAGCCAATATACATCGCGATCGGTTATATGCTGATCACATCAGATTTTTTTCCATATTTTGGTATATGAACGAGAGTAATTTAAAAGTTGTATAGTAAAATGTTTTTAAGAAAAGTATGTTCAATTGTCCATGGAAAAAGTGGTCCTTTACAAACCATTGATTTAGTCTAAATTTATTTAAATAGCAAGAACTTCAATTATTTGGGGAGTTTATTTATCATTGTATTAATTTTTTTTAAGCATTGTCGAATTTGTATAAATTAGCTCAAAATTTTATGGTTTCTAAACCAAATATTGTGGTAAGTGAAAGCTATTTAAAATTACAAACTACTTCTTTTTAATGAAAACTATTAAAAAAATTTTTGATAAAAAGTGCTTATTAGTTTCACTCTGTCCGTCCGTCTATCAGTGGATATGTTTACAAAACTTCTGTGTTTTCCAAATTTCATTTTTTTCTAGACCTTCTAGATTGTAGGAGCCTGAAATTTTAGCAGCTT